AGTCCATACTCGCGTTCTTGTGAATTGAGAAACGGCCCCAGTTTGCAGACCAGTTCCTGACTCCAAACATCACAGGGTCCCTCTGTGTGTCGCCAGAAACTCTGATTAAATGTCACATTCCAGCTGTTTGTGTTTGAACTTTTTCCGGATTTTCTGATTTTTTTTAAATCAGACACCAAAGATGTTTTTATGTTCTGCTCACTCACGGGTTTGTTAGTGTGTGTGTGTGGGTGTGTGTGTTGGTGTTTCCTCTGCAGTTTTCAACCATCCCGTTTGTGTGTTTGAATGTTTATTGTTATTTAAAGCACAGATTTTTAATGACATGATCATTCTTCCAGAAGGTGTTGCAGCACTTCCTGTCCCCGCCTATTAAAGCAGAGGTGGACTCACATTTTGTTCTTTTGTTGTTGTTGTTGTTTTTTTTATTAGATGTATGTAGATTTAATTACTTTAATTTTTATAAAGATATACCAGTTTGATGAACTGTATGAGAACACTACAACTGTAGTTACTCACAGATACCAAATAAATTTTATCACTAAATAAACCTGCGATCTGTGGTGTGTTTGTTTTAAACTGGAGTTAATAAAAAAATATATATTTATTATGGATTCCTTTAAAGATCCTGGTAGAGCCTCTTTTTCAGTCCATATAAGAGCATCATGAATCAGAATCAGACTGCAGAGCTTCTTCATGTCTTCAAATGTTGTTTCTGGCATCATTATATTAGTAAATAGGTTGATTTATTTTTTTAAACAGAGCAAGGAGAAGTAGGGAGAGCTGCAGATTTAAAGGAGAAACAGATTTACTGGGATATGCAAAACGCAATAAAATATATCTCTGAGTTTACCAGAAAGTTTACGACAAAAAAATATGCTACATTTAAAATGGAGCATATCCATATTTTTTTTAGGATGGATGGAATTGAAATTGTACTTCTAGGGATGCATGCTTTATCAATTTTGGCTTCAGAATCGACTGTTATTCGTAATTTTTTTATACATTAATGTTTTTGGGCCCTATATATATATATATATATATATACATTAATGTTTTTGGGCCCTATATATATATATATATATAAAATGCACTAAAAGGCATCTCTCTAACTACATATAAATCTAAATATCAGTGTATTATGGTTCTCTTGTGTTCTCAACAATAGGAAAGCATTCAGTGAATCTGTTTGAGCTAATTTTTTTTATATTGAAAAACTCCATTAGCCCCCACCCTTAGATCGCCCCAACCCTTAGAGCGCCCCCACCCTTTGAGCGCTCCCACCAACTTTGATCACAAAGTTACCCCCTTGGTTTAGATCATGGCTACATAAGATCATTGAATTAATCTGACAGAAACATTCATCAGTTTGAAGTAATAAACCTTTAGCTGCAGTCATGTTGAGCAACAACAAGCTGTTTATGAGAGGATTTGTGTTTTTGTTGACAGACAGCAGCTGGTCAGTGTGTGTCGGCCTTAATGAACTCACCTGAGAGCCGCCCGTTAATGTCTGTTAGGACCAGCGTCTCGTTAAGTCGTCCTCTCAGGACAACACAACATTAACCCTGTTGCATCATCCTTTTGTTATTTGGTTGTGGATTCGTTCCATAAATGTTCCTCAGGAGGTTTTAACACAAAACGCAACAAAACTTTGTTTGTGAATCTCATTAACAGTTTCTTCTTTGTCTTTAAGTTGTTTTTCATTCTTCTGTTATGTCTGTTCTTCCTTAAGAAGGAAGGAGAAATAACTGCCTTTTTTATAAAACAAAGGCCTTTGATGATGGAGCAGTAAAGGGTGCAGATTCCCTGACGCCACCGTCTGTTTCTCCATCAAATAAAACATTTCTGAAATATTTAAAGTTTGTCTTTTAAGCAGCAAAGATAAAGCATTATTATAGATAAATAAAGATGTAATAAACTGAAACTTTCCAAGCATTCTTTCGAAGTCTGAAGCTGGTGAAGCTTCTCAGTCTGAACATGAAAAATCCAAAAAGGCTTTTAAAAATACTACAAATGGGATTTAATACATAGAAGTTAAGATGTTTCCTTAGTGCAGAGATTTAGTCTGGTTCTTTCCAAACAGTTTCAATCCTGGAATCTTCCATTGCTTTACTATTAAAATAAGAAGCTCTTCAGACAAAGAATAAAAATTCTTTGACTATAAGACTTAAATAACCCAGTGAAAACTACGGGCTTTAGTTTTGGCGATCAGAGATAGAACAAAACACAATGTTTTTCCTCATCTTTGAGGGTGTTCATCTATAAATTAGATTTGTATTTAAAAAAAAAACATATTTCACTAAAGAAAGGGTTTAATAGATAGATATAATTAAATAACGAAACAAATAACAAAAAAAAAAATCCTAACAGGATGAACTTTAAGACATAAACGTATTTAAATTAATAACAGAAGCTCTGAGAGCTTTGAAACTTGACATGCATGCAGGTAGAAACTGCAAATCTGCACATGAATATTTGGATTTATGCAGGAAATACCTAAAATAAGGGGACATGTACAAAAAAATTATGTAGAATATTTTCATTTACACTATTGCAGCTCTATCCAATAATAGCAGGTATGCAAACATAGCATGTATATTGAGGAAGTTACATCACTAAAGGTCCAAAATGAATAAAAAATGAAACACTGACATAATGATGTCACTGTCCTTATTTTTATTGCAAAGTAAGCTGAAATAAGGGCTGATCTCTCAGGTTAATATATTTATGATAAATTTAACATCAGACATTTAATAAATCTTTCATGATGCATTTCATATAGAAATAAACAGATCAACATGAAACTGAAGTATAGAATATCTTTATTAAAACACTTATATCAAGTTAAATGTATTTTTGGCCAAACTATTACTACATGGTCACGTTAGCGGTGTAAAGACCAGCAGACGGTAATACAGCATGCTTGTTTGCTCTGGAGCTACAGTTAGGCTACTGGATTATACTGTGGATAGCTGCATTATTGTCTTCATACATAAAGTATCTTTATAACCTGAAAGGGGATTTAAATCACTGTAGATGTATTAAGAAAAGCTGAGACTGACTTAGTCTAGTCTAAACCACTAAAAGGCCTTGCTTTACTAGAATCCAGAACTTAGTCCTCACTAAGCTAAGTTCTAGCATAGCTCTGAACTGTCATCAACAAAATCATAGACTGCATGTTTTAATACAACATTTTATTACACGTGCATGAAAATACTAATTAGAAAATGTTTGTATTTTCTTTTAAGGGTCTCTTTAATCATGGATAATATTTTGCAGTAATTGGATCCAGATCTTTGCTTCATCTGTGGGAATGTTTGTAAAAAGCCAAGAAAAACATCCTCATGTCCAAAACCCCACAGAATGCTAACTAAGCATTTTACTGTTGCCTCTAAAACAAAGAGTTTATATACAGATGAAATATTTCCTACAAAATATCATGTAGAGAAAACTCCAGTAACACCTGCATCTCTGCATTAAAAAGCCATATGGGAGGTGACACATCATCTAACATACATCATCTAACTATGACTGAATCCTCCATGCAGAATCAGCAAGTTGTGATTTACGCCACATCTAAACAAACGCAGCAGCTGCCAGAAGAAAAGAACCACTATATCTATAAGGAAGCTTAACAGACAGTTATTACACTATTACAGGTTTTATTCCAGTTTCATTCTAATCTGTTTCTATATAAATGCATCATGAAAGCTTTATAAAATATGTCTGATATCAAATCAGTCATAAATATAATAACCTGACAGATCAGCACTTACCTGGACTTTGCAGTAAACTGTATTTGTAAACAGAGGTCAGCGAACATTCTGGTCCTTCATTTTGGAACCTTAAACAGTCAGAGATGTAACTCCCTCACTATGAAGGAAAGGTTTGCATACCTGCTATTAGTGGATTCAGCCCAACCTCACCTTTCCAACAGTCCATTCATTACTTCAATGTAAATAATAATATTCTGTCTTACTTTATTTCAAAATAAAACAAACTTAGTTGGATTTTACCTGCTTACTGTTAATGGCAAACCTTAAAGACCAAAAGGTTTAAATTAAATCTATTCCCTTTATGGCTCTGATAGTTGTTGTGTTTTGTTCAAGGAGCAAAGTCACTAAAGGTCCAGTTATTTTTATTAATTTTTTTTCAAACATTTTTGGATTCAGATCTAATCAGCAAATATGGTCGAATTCATATTATAAATGAGAAAATAAATATTTAGATCTGATGAAATGATTTGGTAACCTGTCATGATTTTGGCGCTTAATTGCTTGTTTCATTCACCTCTGTAGCTCTGCCCTGTTTTCTCATCCCTGCTCATCTGATCCACCTGTTGCTGCTCCTATTTATGCTGCCTGTTTACAGCCATCAGTGCCAGATTATTTTTGAGCCTCTAGTGTAGAAATTTTTCCAGGTTTACTGATTGTTCTAATAGCCTGATCCTGACCTGTTTCTGTATTTGGACCTTTGAGTCTGCCTGTTCCTGTCTGATCTGTTTGCCTGACCTGTCTCTGCACTCCTGTTGGATTCTTCTCTAGACTGAACCTGGATCTGCCTCTTAACTTCGCCCTCTGGATTATCCCTTTCTTTAGGTTGGACCTGATCTTCTCTCAGCTCTGCAACCTTCTAGGCTTCCTCATAATCATCCTCCGTCAGATTGTGGTCACTAACCTGTGTTTCTCTCTTATAGACGTTCCTGTTATAGACGCCGCGGATCCACAGCCTGTTGTTGAATAAATGTTTTAACTTCATCCACCATCTGTTTTGCCTGAATTCTGATTACTCTGTTCTTAAACCTTACATAAACATCTCAATGAGAACCAGTATATTCCTCCTGTCCTAACTGGAAACCAGTCAGTTCCCACCTTCCTTTCTGCCTCTGGCCGTCCCACTAATGGTTTTGGTGTCGTCATTTAACATCTTCATGTTAGTGAAGCAAACGAGTTCTTCTCCAGCTGCAGAACATCCTGGGATAAATCTGGAGATCTAATAACCAGATGTTTGTTACACGTAGAAATGTTAAAAACAGAAACTGTCCTGCTCTCTGTTTGAGTAACTGGAGACATCTCTCTTATGTTCACCTTTATCCTGATAAGCTTGACCACATAATACCACCACCACCATGCTTTAATATGGTAGCTACTAATGCTCTTTGATTTATCCTTTATTGGTAAATGTGACCAGACATCTTCCTTTATTTTTTGTCTTTATAGACGTGCATTTTAGGGCCTTTATTTATCTTTACGTTTATTACTACATGGTTTCTAAGTTAATTTGTGCTTTTAACGAGTCCTCGTTACACATCAAACATCAGAGGTCAGGAAGTTTAGATGGTTTCTGTGAGGTGATGACGATGCTCGGCCTCTAATGAGCTCCACAGAGAGCTGCTGCTCATAAAGGAGCTCTGAGCTTATTGGACCTTCAGCTTCTGATTGTTCATGTTTGGCTGCTGTTCACCTCATTCTGTCATGTTTTAGACATGAAGTTTAACTGTCTGAGGACTGAAGCGTGTTTAGATGGTTTAATGGTTTAGTTTATCATGCTGTGATCTAGTGTCTCCTGTTGGTTGATGATGGTGATGAGATGTTAGTGATCAGAGGAGTGTTTGGTCTCCAGCTGTCAGGTGAACTGGTTCTGGTCTCTTGCTCTGTCCTCCTCTGCTCTGATCCCTCCACCTGCTTCCTCTGTCTCCTTCCTGAACCTCCAATGACCGAGGCGGCCCTGAACGCGTCGCTTGATGTCGCTCAGACGTCGCTGACGCTGGAGGGGCTTCGCCAGCTTTCCGCACACCGCCTGATCTTGTTCCCCTTCCTCCTGCTGGCCTTCGTGTTCGCGCTGTGCAGCGACAGCCTCGTGCTGCTGGTGATCTGCGCGCGCCGCGGCCTCCATCGGCCCATGTTTGTGTTCGTTGCCGCGCTGCTTCTGAACTCTGCGCTGGGCAGCAGCACGATCTACCCGCGGCTGCTGTGGGAGCTGCTGTGGGAGGACGGCTCAGTGCGTGTCACCCTGTCTGCGTGCGTGGGTCAGGCGTGGGTGATCTACTCTCTGGGCGCCGCGTCCTTCCTGCTGCTCGCCGCCATGGCGTTTGACCGCTACGTGGCCATCTGCCTCCCTCTGCGCTACGCCGCGCTGCTGTCGCCGCGCGCGGTGGCCGCGGCGCTGCTGTGCTGCTGGCTGATTCCCGCTGTGCTGGTCGGCGGCGCCGTGCTGATCGCCGCGCGCGCGCCGCACTGCCGCGCTCAGATCAACAGACTCTATTGTGACGTTTACAGCCTGATCAGGCTCGGCTGCGGCGGAAACGCGGCCAAACTCGGCGAATTCTTCGCCTTGTTCACCTTCACGGCCACCGTCCTTCTTCCGGCTGCCTTTGTGATTTTCTCCTACAGCTGCATCTTCTTCGTCTGCCTCTGCCGCGCGCGCGCCTCCAGCGGCAAAGCGCTGCGCACCTGTCTGCCGCACCTGCTTGTCTTCCTGAACTACAGCGCGTGCAGCGTGGCGGAGGTGCTCTGGCGCCGCCTGCAGGCCGCTCACCAGCCTGCATCCTCTGTGCTCATCTCACTGCTGGTGGTTCTGGTTCCGAGCGTGTTAAACCCAGTTGTTTACGGGCTGAACATGGACGCCATCACCGCACCGCTCAGGCGGCTGCTGGGCCGCGTGGCTCACAGAGAGGCTCCTGGAAAAGTCTGAAATCTGATCATTAATTGTTTCTGATTTAAACACTGAATGAAAACTGACTGTAAGAATTTATCAAATATTTATAATATTTGATAAATTCTTCTCCAGCTCTGCTGCTTAAACAGAATCCATGCTGTCATTTAAAATGATTTCTGTCCTGTTTGGCTCTTATGTTTGTTCATGGCATCCAGATCTTATGGAAAATGTCCCTCATAGATGTTCAGAACAAGCAATGAATGTTTGAGAGAAAAAATATCAGAACAATTTCAGATGATGAATCAAAAACTTTTGAATAAAACAATGTTTAATTTTGAGAAACATCCCCTGAAAACAAGAGATAAGGGTTTAAATGTCATAAAGCAGGACTATGAGGTGACCTTTGTGGGCCCCCCGCTGCCAGGGGCCCCTCCAAACCTCAGCACCCTGATCTGCAGCCACACCTGAGAGGAACCTAAAACTAAATGCAAAGCATGGAATATAAATGAAAACAGTTGATTGCAAAGTTAAAACCAAAGTTCTTTACTGTTTGTGACATTTTTATAACAGTTGTTTTTAAAGAGATGCTGTTTAAATGCTGATAAAGTGATAATTCACCCATTAACATGCAACCAAAGGGAAGCAATGAGGAATAAAAATATTTATTATGATCAAGACATTTTGAGAGAGATATCATGTGAGAATATTTTAATAGGATAAAGGCTGTTTTATTCTTTGTTTAATTAGTTTGTTAACATGTAGGTTTGGATTCCTCTCTTTGCTGACGATGAAGCAACATTAAAGAAAAGATCAATGTTTAGACTTTCATTTAAAGAGGGAAACAAAAACAGGTTTTAAATGTTGACAAGATGTAAAATAAATCATGTTTTCAGTCCAGATGTACTTTTTGGCATATCTACAATTATAAATGCTAAATAATAGAAACACATTTATGTTTTTTTTTACGTTGAAATAATAGAAAATATTTCTAATCACGTCATTTAAGACCTGCTTCTCGTCTCCTGTTGAGGTGATAAACTCTTAATGTTTTTAATGTGTTTGATGTTTCCTCTGTTTTGGGATCTGAGGAGTGATTTGTTTAAAGATTCAACAGAAAATGTATTTTTGGTTGAATGAAGCAGATTTATAAAGGAGGCTGTTAAATGAAGAGACTTTATATTTTAGCTAAATTCTCTGCATGTCAGGCGTCTCCTCTGTGCTGTGATGTTCTCTCTCTGAGGGTTTTGCCAACATGGTAAACCTAAAGCTGTTGTTCTTTCTTTCCCTCTTTTTAAGAAGCAGCCATCCTCTATTTTCTCCTGTTTTTTTTCTTCAGATGTTCCAATATGTTCCTGCTGTTCAGATCTGTGGAACCTGCTCTAAGAAGTGATGAAAATTAGGCTTTTTGAAGCATAATGTCATAAAGGGGTTACTATTGAAAGCTTCATTCAGTTCCATTGGTAGAATCTACTGGCAGCAGAGGCTGATGCACCAAATTAAATCGTGAAAATGTGATGCATCTGTTCCGTATAAAGTAATCATTATTTATGTGTTTAATGTGTGTTTTTAATATCTCAATAAAGATTCAGAGTAATTTACCCATGAAACAATAATTCATAAACAAAATGAAAATTCTGGGTTTGTCATTTATTCTTTGTGTGTTTGGTGTAATATAGAGGATGTTTGTGTGACTTCAGCTTATTCAAGTAAGGTGGTTTTTTGCACAGTAGCAGGGCAAAAACTTTATTTTTTATCTTTTAGACAGTTTCTCCAGTTTTTAAATATTTCCTTTTTCAGAGAAAACATAAAAGGCTTCTGTGATCGGGTTCTGTGTGGCTGGATGGTAGCCTGTACATCTGAGTAGAGCGTTTTATGTTCTGCCCAGTATTTCTGCAGATCATCTGCTCGGTTCAAAGGAGGAGGAGAGAAGTAATCCTGCACCTTTAATACCAAGATGGCCACCTGTTATTACGTCATTCATCTTACCTATTGTGTATTTGGCATTAGAACTGCATCACTTGCATAACATGATACTATGAAGATAATATACTACTGATATTTCTAATGAACACTTTAAATGTGCATTACTTTTTGAGAGGATTAAAATCTAAATATTTCCACACTTAGCAAGGCGCCCATGACGTTTTCTTCATGAAAGGATGATGCAAATACTCTGAATATCAAAAAACGAGAGTTGATCTTAACATATAATTCATGTAGAACGGGATATGAACCAGCGCTGGAGAGATATTTAATGCATCGAGTCAGGCCAAATGTTCAAAGCTTCACCTTGCAGCAGTCAGCTGAGTCGGTCTGAATGAAGCAGCAAAGGTTAGATTAGATTAGATGAGCTTTATTGATCTTACAGCGGAGAAATTCACTGGTCACATATTGGCATAGTACTTAAAGAAGGTGCAAACAAAGAGGGAAAGATGCATTAGGAATAAAAAATAAATAAAGATAAAATAAAAAGAAATAAAAAAGGTGTCAAACATCATCAGTAACAACATACAGAGCAAACTCAGCCCACTGCTTCACCATAACCTCTCTGTCGTGTTTGAAGCTTGCATCAAAGCCTCTGCGTTGGAGGTAACATCCCTACCGCTGAGAGTTTACTATCAAGCTTAATTCCCTGGTTTTAAACTGGCAGCACTCTAAGTGTTGGACCTCACTGCTCCTGGATGCAGACCTGTCCACCTGCTCCTGCAGAGCAGCTTTCAATCACAACAACCAATCAGTCTGTTGCTCTCAGGTTCCTGTTCCCACAAACTCCTTCTGGTGGATTTCCTAAAGCTGCTTTGGAAATAAAGATGAAATTAACTTCCTGGATCCTGACCGTCATCATCTCCTCGCTGACCTTTAAGCAACCTTTAAATATCTCAAACTAAGATTAGAAATCAACAAACATACTAAATAATGATTAAATAAT